AAAATTCAGAAATTTAGTATAACGTGTAGAGATACTTATACTAATACCTACGATCATAGATGAATTCTTAGAACTAATATTTTGTTTAACTAAGCATGATTCATATAGAGATATGTGATTGAACTAGTTAAATAGGCTCAATGAGAACACGAGAAGGGTAAATTGAATACAATAGAAGAATTCGATCAAACATTTCATTTGGTTATGAATCTTGAATTAAGATTTAAATGTGATCAATAGATGAAATTGTTAAACCCTAATATCTCATTCATATTTAAATTTTAAATCGATTTTTGTGTGCATCCAATTATTTGCAAGTAGTTAGATCAAAAATCACAACAAATCACGACTCTTTGTTCGTTTTCGTCAAATAGTAGTTATGAATATCAAATTAAGCATTAAAGTATAGTTGTTGTATGAACGATAATCCGGACTAAAAAGTTCACTATATTACTTGTTACGATCTGTACACTTGCGGAATTTAAAAATCGACAAGAAGTTTTTGGCGCCGCTGCCACGGACTATTTACATTTAATCTTACTTCATTTTATTTTTAACTGTTATTTGATTTGTTTATTTTCTTCTTTTTACAGATAAAAAGCGTTCGTTGTATACTCGAACCATTTGATTCGGAAATAGAACGTACCTTTACACAAAGACACAAGGAACACAAACAAAAACAAAAATATCAAATGGCTGATGATCAAAATATTTCTATTTCTAGACAGCCAATTGGACAAGTTGTCGAGAGAGTAGCGGCACAATAAAATCAGCACAATGAGCGAATGGAGTTAAATGAAGAAGAGTTGCCAGCCTTAATGTTCTGGACGCCTATAGCAGCACCTGCATGTTCCAGTATTGTGTATCCGGGGTAAATAATTTTCAGATAAGGGTAGATTGGATCAATTTGACTAGCAACACTTTTCTATTCTATGAGATACCTCATGAAAATCCGAACACACATATCTCCAAATTTCTAAGAAAATATCAAAACTTCCATGCTCCAGGATTTAATGAAAATGCTATCAAGTTGCGTTTATTTCCTTACACATTGAGGGATACAGATTTGGAGTGGTTAGATGCTAAACCTCACGGAAGCATTACTACATGGGAGAACTGATTAGAAAATTCTACAACAAATTATTCCCCCTGGAAAAGTAGCAAAAATACGATTGGATATTCAAACTTTCTAACAAAGAGATGGGAGAGTTATCACGAGGCATGTAATAGATTTAAAGAGCCGATGAGAAAGTATCCAAATAATGGAATCACTATAGGTAATCAAGTGCAATACTTCTACACCGAACTTTCACCACTGTCAAAGTCTCAGATGGATTCCTCTACTGGTGGATCAATTATAGGCAATCAGTTCAACAATGTATGGACTTGTTCGAGTTAATTGACATTCAATGTTTTCATCAGAAAGAGTGGTACCACAGAAGGCAGCTGGAATTTATGAATTAGACAGCATAGCTTTCACCAGTGCATAGATTGCTGCTTTGACAAAACAGGTGGAGTTACTGGTGATGACAAACCATTATGTGAAAATTGTGGAACCAATCATCCCATAAAAAATTGGTTGTCTATGGTTTTTCCCAAAGAACAAGTGAACTTCGTTCAAAATGGTTTACAAAATTTCAATCCATATGGAAAAACATATAACCCAGGATGGAGACATTACCTGAACTTCAGATGGTCTGATAATCAGCAAGGGAATATTTCAAATAATCCTCAGCAAGTTGATATTGATGATCAAGTTGAAAGAAATTTTATACTTCGGTGATGAGTTTAGAACTAGAGAAAATTTGAGTAACTAAAATAAAACTTTATTCATAGTTGGATAATGTACTCTAGTATTGCATTCGAGTAGAATATCTATATCAAGCTAGTCAAGTCTGGCTGTAGAAAATTCTAGGAGCTTTGCTTCTTGTAACGTACAGGGCCGCTATACAAAGTTCTGCAATTTAATATTGGCATCGGCCCTGTATAAATAGAATTATCCAAATTTTAGTATCGCAATGGGCTTTTTAAGAATAAAAGTTCCACAAGTCAATATTGGCATCACAAATTTGAAGTGGAAAAATATACCCAACCAGATTTTTTAAGATCCAACTTATAAAATCA